TAGACATATTAACTAGATGGCAACCGGATAATAACCCCGATGGTAAAATGCGGTGTCAAGTACAAATCTCGATCTATTCAAAATACACGATTTTTTTTGTTGGTTATAGAATCTCGATCATACCTTTTATGTGATATTTCATAGAAAGACATATACACTCGCTTGTAGAGGACTTTCATTTCCCTATCTTTATGATTGCTTATACGGGATTAGCTGTCTTAAGATTCGTCCAACACATGAGTTAAATGAACGGCAGCAAACTTAAGTTAGTGTTTTTCTTTCTATTTGTTTCATTAGAAAAGATATTTTTGCCAACCAGAAGAAGTATATGTGGAGAAAACTTATGTGATTTCGTTTTTAATTGGAAAAAAGTAGATATACGTAGGCGTGAACCATTTAATTTAACGCGAGTTAATTAACGGCATTAATTAACTAAAAGCGTTAACCCTTAATATTAACGCTTTTAGTTAACGTTAATTTTAACGTTAATGGTTTTTAGTTAACCGTTAATTTACCGGTAATTAACTCATAAACGTATAAAAACAATCATATATCATTTTATTTCGAATTTTTTCATAGAAAGATCAACATTCACGTAATAACTATTTTCATGTTTTAGATGAGGATATCAGTATCAGCTACGAATTGAAATCATATCTATATTGATCCAATCTCATCTTGTAAGATTTTCTTGAATTCTCATATGAACATTTTAGTGGAATACAAAAATCTTAAAGTGAGACATTTTATGTTAGTTTGAAATCGAAGGTTAAATTTTTTTAATCATTGCTATTTATGTTAAGTAGTCTTTTAGTGAATAGCTTGTTCGTTCGAAATTCATTGATAAACGTAACTGGTGTATGTTTTGGCAGTAATCCAGATAAAAAAGTAGATTATCTGAGCTCACTTCGTCTAACCTGCCAAAAGTTATCAGTAGCATAATTCTTCGATGCTTTACTATGATAATTAGCAATATCATTAGTTGTCGAAGTTTAAATCGACTTGGCATGTAAGTTTTCCAATACGTTTGCCTTTGGTTTATTAGATAAAAAACAGTACGTCCAGTAATCAAGTTGATAGTTATAAATATAAGAGTGAAAATCGTAAAAACAAACATATCACCCCGGAGTGGTTTTGAACGGTATGTTCTCGGTGAATAAAAATAGCATATTCGGATTCAGCGTGGTCAGTAACCCCCGTCCCCGTTGAGATCTCGAGAGGGTATCCCTGACCACAAGCCAAAAAAGTTTTGACAAAATTCAATGGTAAAACAACGTACAGAACAGAACAAAAAATATATATCGCACTGGATTCGA